AAAACCTAAAAAATTTAAATTATATGAATAGAACTCAATATCACATGTTACAAATGAATAAAAAAAGTCAATCATTTAAATTATATAAAAAATTATTTCTGAATATTTTTTTTTATAAAAGATTAATTAATTATAGTGTAAACAATTATTTTTGAATATTTCTGAATAAGTTTGGTTTAATTTGAAACTTTATTTTTTTTAATGTTTAAATTCTTGTGTTAATATTGGTTAGTTGTTTTAATTTTTCACACTATGGTTAATTAATTTTTTATTAAAAAATATTCAAAAATAATTTTTATATTATTTTTTATATAATTTTACGTATTATTTAAATAATTAACTTTTTTTAATTCATTTAAAACATATAATATTAAATACATTTACTTATTTAATAACATATAAAAATTATATAAAAAATTATACAAAAAATTATCTTTATATTATTGCTACTTTTTAAAATTAAGTATTTAGTCTTAAATAATGAAGCAAGAATTTTCCCTCTCAATTTTTAGGCCACATGTTAGTTTCAGTAGTGCCACACAGCAACTTATGTGGCGCCACACAATTAAGAACATGAAGTTCTATCAATGTGATCAATGGAGTTGGATGGAGTAGATGAAAATGAAATAGTTTTGAAAGTTAATAGATGAGTTTGAAAAAAAAAAAGATTTTAGACTAAAATGAAAAAAAAAGAAGATAATAATTAATAAATGATTTCTTAAATTAAACCCTCCTAATTTCGTTCACAGCTCTTTCACATTTTTCTTGTTTTCCAGTGCCACTCTTCTTGTTCATCTGGCTATACAAAATTACAAACTTAATATATAATAATTGAACTCAAACGTTAAGAATGAAATTACAATTAGTAGTACAAAATATTGTGGATTGAAATGTACTGGACAACAAAATACTAATTATTAACTTAAGAGAGAATTTTTAATAATGAGGTAGAACTCTTTTATTTAGTGCTTGGTGTTTTATAAATAGATATAGATTATTTGAAGAAAATTTGATCAAGTAAAATTTTTTTTCTTTTTATAACATAAGTACATGAATTAATAAAAATTTAATTGAGTTCATACTTATTAATTTAAAAGTTTTCATTCAAAGTCAACATCAAAAGTTTAAAC